AAATCTCTTCAGTAAATGATGTTAGGAGAACTGGATAGTCATCTACCCTACCAAAGAATGAAACTGGATCCTCATCTCTCACCACTAACAAAAATTAACTAAAAAACTAACAAAAATTAACTCAAAATAGATTGAGGATCTAAACATAAAACCTCAAGCTATAAAAATACTGGTGGAAAGCACAGAAAAAACTCTAGGAGATCTTTGAGCAGGCAAAGACTTCTTTAAAAAGACCCCTAAGGCACAGACAATATGTCCCAAAAATAGACAAATGGGACTATATTAGGCTGAAAAGCTTCTGCACAGCAAAGGAAAGAATAAGTAAGAGTGAAAAGACAACCCTCAGAGTGGGAGAATATATTTGCCAACTATTACCTCAGATAAGGGACTGAGGGAACTCAAGGAGCTTACCCACAAAAAAATTATCAATCCAATTAAAAGATGGAAAAAGAAGCTAAACAGAGAATTCTCTGAAGAAGACATATGAATAGCCCCAAAGCATATAAAAACATGCTCAACATCTTTTATCATAAAGGAAATACAAATCAAAACCATAATGAGATACCACTTAACCCCAGTCAGAATGACTTAAATTTAAAAAATGATAAGTGCTGGTGAGGCTGTGGTGAAAGGGGAACTCTCCTATACTGTTGGGGGAAATGCAAGTTAGTACAACCATTTTGGAGGATAACATGGAGATTCCTCAGAAACCTACAAATAGAACTACCATATGACCCAGTAGTTCCACTCTAAGTATTTACCCAAAGGATAGAAAAACCCCCAGTCAGAAAAACACTTGTACATCCATGTTTATTGCAGCATTATTTATAATCACTAGGACATGGAATCCATCCAAATATCCAAAAATAGATGATTCGGGAACCAGCAGTTAGCGTAATGGCTATGTCACTGGACTCCCATGTAGTCGACCGCGGTTCACGTCCCGGATCCGGTGGCTTAAAATTCATGCCAGGCGCGTGTGCGTGTGTGCCCAAGATCCCGAGAGGATAATGGAGGAGAAGGGATTGTGGCGTGACCATCCCCCCTGGGGGGTGATTTCTCGCTTTCTGTCTCTCTGTCTCTCTCTGTCTGTCTGGCGAGTGCATGCACCCTATAGTAAAAACCTCTCCAATAAATAAATAAATAAATAAAAGAAAAATAGATGATTGGATTGAAAAAACTGTAGCATATATACTCGATGGAATAACAGTTAGCCATTAAAGACAAGAAGACCCTGATATCTGATACACAGTTGACAAATAGGGAAGACTTAATGCTAAGTGAAACAAGTCAGACTATGAAAGAGACTCTGTATGCCCCCACTCAATATATTTCGAATGTCTGTGCTCTATAGTAGAAACTGAAAGTTTGGAAGGTACAGTAGTTGGGAGGGCAATGGTAGATACTAGACATAATAAGAATGGGGTAATATAGGGGTGGGTTACAGAGGGAGGGGAATGGGAAGAAAAGAAAAGGATGTTTAATTGACAGAAAATGAACAGCTATGTGCTGATGAGAATGTATATAGTCATGTCTCTATCTTGACTGATATGCATGGTATTCATGCTGGAAAAAGCAACATTGTGCACTGTAAGGCTAGATGTGATTAAATATAAATTTAAGTAAGTAAGTAAATAAATAAATAAATAAAATGTACGCTGTACCCCATTGGGAGGATCCAATAACAACAACAACAAAAATAAACCCATGCTTTTATTTGTATGTATATATATATATATAATATAAAATATACATATATAGTTTTTTTTAATGGAGAGAGGCTGTGTCTCAATACAGTTTTACTTATGGACACAGAAATTTTCATTTCATGTAATTTTCATGTATCATAAAACATTGTGGTTTTTTTTCCCCTTGGCCATTAAAAAATGTAAAAACTGGGACTAGCAGATTGTGTAATGGTTATGTCGCTGGACTCCCACACCTGGCAGCTTAAACTCACACTGGGCACATGTGCATGTGTGCCCAAAATCCTGAAGGGATGGTGGCATGGCCATCCCCCCGAAGGTGATTTCTCACTTTCTGTCTATCTCTCTGGCAAGCGCACATGCCCTATAGCAGAATTCTCTCAAAAAAAAAAAAGAGAGAGAGAGACAGAGAAAAAGATTATTTATGGAAGCATGTTCATAAGTGTCAGGATGAATTCATAGTCTGCCCCAGGCGCTTATAAAAGTTGGAAGAGTTTTGCCACTGATGCCTGAACAACAGTGATGCTGGGCCCCAGCAATCAAACGGTGATGAAGTGGAGGTGCTCGTGTTGATGCGGAAAGATATTTATCATGTGTTTCGTCAGAGCTATTTATAAACTGATGTGTGTACTACCATCCTGTTACTTACACACATGCATGCAAGTGCAAGCATACCGGACCATCTAGTCCCCTCTGACTGATAGATAACGAGTTTGTTTAGCTTTTTCCAGAAGAGGTACTTAGCGCTTTGGAATAAGAAATAAGGTCAAACTGGTACCCACAGGAGTGCAATAATCACGAAGTGGTCTGACTGGTGACGTGGGATCACCACCATTACTTTATCCAATACATTCCCAGGGAGGATCTATGACAAACCAGGGAAAGGCTATGCACTGTAGAATTGAGATAGACAAGACAGGGAGGGCTCCCTGTTCCGTGGAAGCTGGTCAGGAAAATGCATTAATTCACTTGCTGGTGCAGATGTTCTAGACAGTCACAGAGAAGACCGGGGAGCTCGTGAAGCAAGGTGTAGTCTCTTCCACAATCAAAATGCAGCCTGGGACTGCACTTGACACAACTCACATGATGGTCAGCTGAACAGCAGTGCTCCTGTATCCTTGATGAGGCTGCTGTTCAGACTGAGGGCCAGGCAGGTGACCCCACCAATGTGAGCCTTTGTTTTCCTCATCCTCAGAGCAGCAGCCTCTCGAGGCAGCAGTGAGCATGCGCTAAGGTTTGCGAAGCATTCTGCACAAGGCGAGGCCCCGCACATGACAGGGGAGGTCTACTGCCGAGACCTGAACCCCTTTCTCTAAGGGCTGACAACCTGGAATTTAAACCATGATGGATGCCAACACTGGGAAGAAAACATGTTTACGAACAGAAAGACTGAGCAGAGCGAGGCAGTGAGCAGCCGTATTTCAGGTCACTGTGTCTCTGAGGGCGCTCGCGCTTGATTATGGGCCTTCCAAGTCAGTCAGTGCCAGGCGGTTCCTGACTTCCTGGCGCTGTTCATAACTCCAAGGACAGTCTGTTCATTTTATACTGGACAGAATTTCTCTGCAAGATTTTGTTCATATACATTAAAGAAAAGTATTTGGGACCTTCAGCCCTGAAAACAAATCACAGGGATGTTGTTTCTGCTATAGCAGAGAAAGAAAAGACTTCCCTGTTCGCAGACAAAGGTTTGAATCCTGGCTTTGTGCCCTCTTGTACGGCATTTATCGTCTCCTAGCTCCAGGATAATAGAATCTTCCCGGAAAGGTGAGAATGAGAGCAACTGTACGAGGGCACTTTAGTTAGCTGAAAAATGGAATTAAAGTATGAGCTGATTTGGGAGCAAATACATTTTGCTTTGGTTAAAGCAAACATATTTTAAAGCCATAGTTAGCTTTTCCACAATACGCATTTTCCATAAAGTTTTGAAGACCTTGTTAGACGCTGGATAAAAGGCAGTTGTTTTTCCCTTAGTGGAAAGGCCTCAGGGACCTAACAGCTCAATGGGCTCTCATCACCCAGAAGCTATGCCTTCGGGAAAATCAATTCATCAGATAAGGAAGGAGGTCCAGGGTGCACTGGCTGCCCCAGAGCCAAAGTTGGCTAACACTCTGTACTCCTCTGGAACCATGGTTGTGAGTAGAGTGTATCAGATATTTCAGGGAAGGAAAAAGAAAAGGAATTCATTGGAAAGTTAAGAAAGGCACTGCTTGGGGGGAGGGGGGAAAGAGGCAGGGAGAGCATGCACGAGCAGAGGCAACTCTGCTCCACCAAGGATTGGAACAGTGTCCTGCACTTTTTCTGCAGGACTCCACTGAGATCACCAGGGCTCTAGGGAAGTGTTCAGACTCCAGATCTCACTCTGGGATGCAGCAGGCCTGGGATGGGCCCAGGAGCAAGTCCATGTTACCCAGAGCCACTGACATACTTCTGATGCTTCCAAAGGGCAGTCTTGGGAACTACTCAGGTGTGGAGAATACACCCAGTGTTGGTGTCAGGAGGCCTTTGCTCGATACCCAGCTGAAGGTCAACTGCAAAGTCCAATTTTAAAGTGTTCACCAAGAACACTGGGACTGGACCCAGAGAAAGTAGACTGGGAATTCTCTGCAGGTTGGAAACATACACACAAACAAGGAAACAGACTATAAGCTATGCACTAAAATTCATACACACACACGCACACACAAAATATACATGTATATACATGAGACAAAGTTTGTGAAAAATGTAAAAAAGTTTGTGAAAAAATGAAATTAAAGTATGAGTTTATTTTGGTGCAAAAAATTTCAAACTCCATACACAGTTTTTTCTAATACACAGTTCCATACATAGTTTTTTCTAATACACAGTTCCATTGAACTTTTTGATGACAAACAACTTCTACATATATACACACACATACATATGCACATATCCCTCTATACATGCAGAATAAATTGGGTCATCAGAAAAGTTATCACTTTTATTTTTGCATAGAAAAATATGTCATGACTTTTCCAATGATCCAATATATGCATGTGAATAAACACATATACATATTCATGTGCACCTGTACTCACACATGCATGTAGGCACATATGCATATAGACATGCCCACACACACACACACACACACACACACACACATGCCTATTTCAGTTAATCGTTACACAAACTCTAGCACTAATAGAACCCCATTTTCCTGATGTGGAATTGAGGCATGGTGGAAATAAGAAACTTGCCTGATGTCACACAGCTAGTCAGTTGCAGAGGTAGGATTTGAAAAAGAAGGGCAGGCTCCAGATTTTTTTTTTGTTCCAAACTAACTGGAGAGGTTAAGCAGAGTAGATACTGAAAGGCATGAACTTGAACAACAACTTGTTCCCTGGAGTAGACTATGCTCAGAAACGTTTACATTTCTACACATGCTTGGTGTTTTTCCCATTAAGCACTGGAGTCCACATTGCCTTGAATGTGGGCTGGTCTGTGACCACTTTGACCAGTAGAAGATGGTGGAAAGGCAGTGTTAGTTCTGCTGCTAGCCTTAGGAAGCCTTGCGGCTTTCACTTACTCACTTGGAATCAAATACAATACTGTAAAGAAAGTTGGGCTAGACTACTCCTACTGAGGAAGAGAGAGAGGCTGCCAGCCACTCCAGTCACCCCAGCTGAAGCACCAGACTCCCCACTGAGTGTGACCACACACTGACTCCAAATGACTTCATATGGTGCAGAAGAACCATCCAGCAGAGCTCAACCAACCTGCAGAACTAGGAGAAAAATAAATTGTTATTTTAAGCCACTACATTTTGGGAGTGGTTTACTGTGCAGCAAAAAGAAAGTTAATTCCTGTCCCTCCATGGCTTGCAGACAAGTACAAATTTCATAATAACCGTTACTATTTGTTGAACACTGTACCAGGCATCATTACATTATACTAACAGCATTCCATTCATTGTCCTGTTTAGTCTTTATTGTTACCATATAGTAGGTATTAATATTATTTCATTTAATGACATATAAATTACCTTAGACAAGAGAACCAATGGTGTGTGTGTGTATATGTGTGTGTGTGTGTGTGTGTGTGTGTATTTGTATGGATAGAGAGAGATAATAGAGGGGGAGAGGAGGTGGGAGAAGCAGAAAGGGAAAATTGGGTATGGAGGATTTGAAAGAACTGGCTCTCACATGCTTATGGGGTTTGGCAGGTCTGAACTCTGCAAGGCCAGCTGGCAGGCTGGAGACCTCTAGAAGCACTGATGTTTTTGCTGTAGTCCAAAAACAGTCCGGAGGCAGAATTCAAACTTCCTCAAGGAATCTCAGCCTGTTTTCTCTTAAGGCCTTCCACTGATTGGATGAAGCCCAACTACACTGTGGAGGAGGATGGACTTTATTCAAAGTCTACTAATATAAATGCTTATCTCACCTAAAAACAAGGCCTTCAGAGACATGACATCTAGGCTGATGTTTGACCCAAACCTAGGTACCGTACCATTGGTACCATAAACTAGTCAAGTTGACACAATGAATTAGCCCTCACAGGGCATTTCCCCCACTCTGTGACACATGTCCCTGGCAAACCCAGACCCTACATTCCCAGGCACACCCATGAATCACACAAGATCTGCAGAGTTTGTCCAGTTAAACAGAAAGTGCCCAAAGCACAGAGCAAGAGTCTACTGACCACCCCGCAGCGAAGGAGAACTGAGTCTTGAGGACAAGGAGAACTGGCCTGTTCAAAAAAGGATTAACAGAGCTTCAGTCAACAGGTGACAGGAACAAGGTGGCAATAGTCAGGAAAACATGGTGGGTCCCAGGATCTCTTTCTCCTCAACTAGCTGTGTGTAGGGCTCATGCCCCACCTCCCCAAGAGGCAGGTCTTCCTAAGTTTGAAGACTGACGAAGAACTGCCAAGTTCTTTGCATCGTTCTCTCCAACTTCAGTTAAGCACAGGTCACTGCGGCAGTACCTCCTTTGGCTGCAGGCGACGTCCAGCAACTTGACTTTGCCACTGCAAAGAAAGTGAGGTTGATAGAGCATCATCCATTTTTCAGTGGCAACAGAAAATCCAGGAATCTCCCACACCCAAGCTCTCCTTCTACTGGATAGGGCCACCCATATCCTGGATGCTAATCTTCCATGTGTAGGAATTTACACCCTCCTACCACCTTTGAAGCATCCAACAGTCACCAGCAGTTACTCAGACAGAACTCTGACTGGCCAGAGATTATCACTTACACTGGATTTTGTTTTCTTGCCCCTGCAAAAGCCAGCTGTTTCCTTCAAATTGGTATCAATGAGGCCAGGAAGTTTTTTTTCCCCCTGCAATCACTGTATGCGGGAAGATCAGAAGGCACTGTCAAAGGCAAGGACGGAACCAGCTGGGCATATGGAGATATGACTGCTCTGGCCTGGCCTCACCTCAGTCTACTGAGGGGCAGCTTCACCTACTCACAGACAGGGAACAACAGGAGGCTTGTTATGATAATTAATCAGGAATGTTATCATCATCCTAAAGAACTCTGGGCTGCTCCAAAGCCAGTTAGGAAACTTACGTCAGTCACTCTCTTCCTGTCTCATATACTCACTGCCTCCAGTCAACCTAGGGGCCAGGAGCGAATGAACCCTGTCTCCTGGGGCAGCCTGTTCAGTAAAACAAAGTCCTTCTGAGGAGCTTGTGGATGACAGGAGGGGCTACATCTCATTCTCATCCAACAGAGGAAAAGCCAAGGCTGATTAACAGCAGTATGTCTATAGAATTTAGTGTACATGAAGTCCTCCTCTGAGTGCCTGAGATGGCCTATGGTAGGCAGAACATTGGCCACCAATAATACTCACAGCCTAATCCCTGAGGTCTGTGAATATGTCAGGTTACATGGCAAGGGGAAATTAAAGCTGCAGTGGAAATAAAGCTACTAATTTGCTGACCTTAAAACAACTATTCTGGATTATTTCTGTGGGTCCAATGTCATCAGAGGGGTCCTTAAAAATGAAACAGAGAGATAAAAAGGAAAGTCAGAGATGTCACTGTGGAAGAAAGGCAGAGAGAGATATTGCCAGCCATGAAGGCAGAAGGAGGCCACGAGCCAAGGGCTGGGGGCAGCCTCGAGAAGCTGAGAGAAGCAAGGAGATGGATTCTCCAGAAAGGACTGCAGCCGTTTGGCCATGATTTCAGCCCAGGCAGACTTCTAACCCATGGAACTGTAAGACAGTAAACGAATTTTAAATCACTGAGTTTGTAGAAATTTGTTACAGTAACAACAGAAGCATACTACAGGAACAGACTCAGTTATTTTTTTTTAGTATTGTTATTTTATTTGCCAGTGGGTGCACACACTTGCCAGAGACACAGAGAGAGAGAAATTGGGAGAAAGAAACCCTGTGGGCATGGTTATGCCACAACCCCTTCTCCTTCATCTCTCCACTCTATCAGGGACTTTGGATAAATATGCACAGGCCCTGGGTATGTGCTTCCAGATGCCAGGCTGAGACTCAAACCATGAGATTGGCCAGGCTGAATCTGGTTCCCACAGCCACCAGGCCATGGAGCCAATCTCCAATTCAGTTCTTAGGAGGTAGTGTCCACTATGGCTACAAAAATTCTGCTTAGCAACATCCCCCCAAACTCAGGGGCACACAGTGATAAGTATTTGTTTCTGGTACTCAGGTCTGTTAGCCAGCTAGGGGCTGGCTGATACGAGCAGGGGCTGTTGGCACCATGCCAACCTCCTTGTCTCGGTTTTCTGAGGAACAGAGGTTGCAAAGCCACTAGTGGTAACAACAACATGCATGCAAGAAAGCAAGCCCAACTACTTCCATCCCATCCTCCACTTGAGGTACATTAACAGCAATATCCTATAAATCAAGCTAAGTCCCGAGGCCGAGATTGAGGTCAAGGGGTGACAAAGTGCATCCTACTTCCCTCGAAGCCATGGCAAAGTGTTAATATATAATTTTACTGTGGAGAAGTAAAGAACTGGAATTAATAGATCACCCTCCTGCAGGTGAGAACTGTTGCTCCCATCCCATTCTACAGATTAGTAAACCAGGGCAGAGCCACAAAGAACCTCATCCATAATCATATTGATAGAAAATGAGGGAGCCAGGTACAGAAGCCAAATGGGCTGGCTTTGGAATTTGGGCCAGGACTCACACCTGTTAACTGGAGAAGCTCCGTGACTAAACACCTCCAGCATTGGGCAAGGAGAAGATAGCACTCAGGGACCACCATGATCCTCACAAACGAGAAAGAGACACTGGGAGAGGGAGGTCACTAATCAAAATGGCTGCCAAGCAGAGCTGCTCCTCCAGAGAGCAAGGCCCCATTCTCCAGTACAGGTCTGGATCCAAGAAAGCTCCGTGACGTTCCAGCGACGATGAGGACAGCAAGTCCAGCATCCAGAATGAGCCCACCCTCCACAGCTGTCACAAGGCCAAATGTCCTTTGCCCCTGTCTTAGTAGACAAGATCTGCCATTCAGTCAGGCCAGTTTACAAGAAGCCAGTACTTCTGTTCCTTGGAGAATTGGAGTCTGTTTTTCTGGAGGCCAGAAAGAGGGAGAGGGGTGATGAAATGTCCAGAAAGAAAACAATAAGCACATAATGTGGAAGGAAAGGAGGCAGAGAGTGAGGCAGGACCACGCCTAATCCTGGAAAGAGTCTGCAGAAAGGGAGGAGCTTTGGAGTGAAGAAACACTCAGAACTGAACAGTACAGAGAAATTTTACATCAGGGCACCCAGCAAGGATTTCCCGGAAAGGGCCAGAAAGCCAAATCAACAGTTCTGGGCCTGTCTGGGGCCTCCTCAGAAAGGTCAAACGCAGGAAGTCCAGAACTAAGTGGCAGCATATAAGAAAGCAGTGAGTGTACAGAGGCTCAGGAGACTGGCAGGGTCCCTTCAATCACGTGGCATAAATGAGGGTTTCTCTTATTTTTTTTTTTTTTTTTTAGGGGCTTTTTTTATT